TTAGTCCGCCGTCTTTACGTACGTCTTACTAGTAGACGTAGGGTCGACCCTATTCCCAACCCCTTCCCTTCTTAGTTCAGTACCCGCCCCCCCCCCCCCCCCCCTTGTTTACCACTTGTCTTTAGCTGCCTCGAACTAACAGTGAATGAGAAGGGTATTACAACGCTTGCACATGAAATGGATTAATGATTAAAATGAGACTGTATGTAGTTTTAAGTGATGCATACTGATGACTCTGAACGTTTAGGTTCCCTTGATGGCTCTGCTCAATTGGCACAAGAAAACAGAGGCATAGTGGGCTCCAATGTCATCCTAGATTTTTAACACTCTGGTATTTGAGTTACTGGTTCTGTACTTTCTTTCCCATTATTACAGCAATGAAGGTGTAGTGGTGGAGAGACTGCAAGGAGCAAATGTGGACTAGAGCTGGCCATTTTTCTATTTTGTGGGATAGTGCGATCTTTCTGGCTCTTAGCATTAGATTGTTCTAAACATATCGGTTAAGGGAGGTCGGGCTGTCAACCGGTGTTTCCAAAAAAGAAAATCCAAACCTAAGAACTCCTATTTCAATTCAATTTTGTTATTTGTCTATTTTTAATATTTTTTGGATTACCAATACAGAGCAATATAGAATGGTGATTTGACATGGATATGTGGGGTGGAAGTTTGGGTTTAGAAGCACTGGTTTGAATCCTTGAAGTTTGTCCTAGAAAAGCCCAATTGAGCTGACCTAGTCTTTGTTTTTTGAGAAAGATACGCTCATGTCCTCGTAAGGTCAAGTTTTGTCAAAATGACTTAGGACTTTATATTATGAAGTTAGTATTGTTGAAATGATTTTGGATCTTCAAAGTCCAGAGTAAAAACTCATCACATATTCAAAGTTTCTATTTTAGTGGCATCTAAAGCCAAGGCATTTTGTAAAAAGATAGAAACAAAAAAATAAGAATATGAATATAAAAAAAGTTGATATATTAACAATATTTCAAGGTAACATTAGTGTAAATATCTTTTTTTTCTTCTTTTTTTTTTTATTCAATGTGGCAGCCACCACTTGTTGCCTTCTCTCTCTCAAACACCTTCTGAAGGTTGATACTCTTCAAAGCTACCTAGAAATCTATTACATGACAATCGTTTATGAAGAAATATGATATTTTCATCGTTTGGGTGTACTTTATGATAAGGAAATGAAAAGAGATTATTAGAGATTTCTTCAAAAATCATGAAACACATTATGTGTGGTGAAAGGTGAAAAATCTATTACACGTTTGACAGGTAATTTTTAATATCAGTTTAATAAAATGCCAACCAGTCTATTCGGTTTGTATATGTGCACCACCCTCCCTCTCTCTAAGCTTGCCCCTCTCTCCCCTCTCTCTTCAAGTCCTTTTATCTCATGTATATATAATTTTTTAAGCTCCCGATATTTTGAAGTTCCTTTGTCACATCTGTATTTTTTTAAGCTCCTGTACTCTCTCAACTGTACTTTTTCTATTCTCCCTCTCTCATTAGCATATCCATTCTCTTTAACATATTTAATCAATGAGAAATTACAACACAAATATAATAAAAAATTTCACTCAACATAAGAAATTATACAACACAATTATAATAAAAAATTTCATCTAACATAATCTTCATAAGAGATTAGTAGAAGCTCAATTGAAACAAGGTATTTCTTCCAATACTTTAAAATTTTCTACTGTAATTACCAAACTTTCTAGTTTACTAATTAAATTTTAATTTATACTATAAAGATTTTTAATTTGGTATATCATAAATTTGTTGTTTATCATGTTAAAACTAAAGTCTAATAATGTTAGAAGACATGTGATTTCATGTAAGTGCCAAAGACATGCAAAATAAGTAAGATATTGTATGATTGTGACTTTAGAATGGTACAAGTTATTATTAGCTAATCTTTTTGGAATGATGATAATGTTATTATTAGAAAATCTTTTTGGAATGGTGATAATGTTATTATTAGAAATTTTTTTTGGAATCATGTGATGATGACTTTAATTCCGTATTTCGGTAGAATTTTGTGACAAAGAAAATAAAGGAATGATAGTTTATAGGCAAGTGCCGGTAAAGTGTTGGTAATGCATTTCCCATATTTTTTTCAGATATAGCCAAACAGTAGACATGTATCTTCCAAGTTGCATCTAGATACTATCTAAATAGTAACAATTCATTTGCAGGTAATATATTACGTTAGTAATATATTTCACAGATAATATATTTTCAATATCCAAAAGTTCCCACAATAAAATTGTCTTTCCTTCTAGTTCAATGAAATTATCTCCTTCCGATTGGTATGAAAATACTTTCATGAAAAATGTTTTCATGTGAATATTATGTTACGCACATTTGGTACTTGACAAATACATATCAATTTTTTCTCTTGGTAAAAATTTTTACCCTAAATTGGCCAATTCATATGAAAATAGAACCGTATTGCTCGAGTTGGGGAAATATTTGTGGCTCTGTATTTTCTCACATCGCAGCAGTTGACTTTATCAAATACAATTAATTTTGCCGAAAAACTCCTACTATCTAGAAAGAGAATCTCAAATTTTTAGTTTTAAAGATAGAAAGTATCTTAAAATTTTGAAGAGAAATTATATTTAATTTTAGAGAGAGAAACTACTTGAAAATTTTTAGAGTGAATTTTTCAAAATTTTTAAAGAGAAATTATATCAAAATTTTTAGATATAAACTATCTCAAATTTTAAGTTTTAGAAAGAGAAGTATCTTAAAATTTTGGAGAGAGAAACCATATCAAATTTTAGAAAGAGAGTACTTGAAAATTTTTAGGGAGAAACTAAAAAATTTTAAAGAGAAAATATCTCAAATTTTAAGTTTTAGAGAGAGTACTTGAAAATTTTTAGAGACTCAAAATTTTTAAAGATTGAAATTTTAAGCTTTAGAGAAAATATATTAAAGTTTTAGAGAAATAAATTATATCAAAATTTAGAGATAAATTGCTTAATTTTTTTTAGAGGGAATCTATCTTAAAAATTTTAGAGAGAGAAATTATATAAAATTTTTAAGTTTTAACGAGAGAAACTATATTAAATTTTAAAGGAGGATGCCTAAAAAGTAGAAATTGGGGAGTTTTCCCTAAATAAAATTTATTTTAATGAGAGAACAAAAAACTAATGGAATCAATAATACACAATCGACAAAGGACATTTTGTATAGAGCCGAGGCTCTAAACAATCAAATTTGAGCCTACCTCAAAAATTTTACCAGAAGAGGTTGTTTTGATGCCCAAATATCTTCAAATTGATCATCTCGACATCAAAATGTATAGACATGAGAAAAAAATGGATTGTAAGTTCTGGAAACAATGTATTTTGTAACGTATTTTTGGACCGTCAATTTTCAAGTTTTCATAGATATGTTGATTTATACTGTTTTTGACACTTTAAAATTTATTAATAAATATAAAAATATATTTTAAGGCTACATAATGATTTTCAAAATTGAAACCACATTTCTCGACACCATTTGAAGGTAAGCTGTAATTTGATTGTTTAGAGCGTAGGCTCTATACAAACCACCCTTTTGTAAAAGCCTCATTGTTACAAACCACCCTTTTGTAAAAGCCTCATTGTTATAACAAGGTTGTGACGTTTCATGATATAAGCAGTGGTTTAAAAAAACAGATCGGTGCCTCAGATCGGACAATCTAAAAACCCATCCGGATCGGTGAATTGACGATCCGGATAGGGAATCGGCCGAATCGGTCAGATTTAGTTTTAAAAAAATTCCAAAAAAAATTATTAAAATTCATTATAAATGTTCTCTTTCATGAATCCAATAAGAAATGATGGTATTACATTATTAACTTTCATTTTTTTCATCAATTTGTGAATATTGAGATGCTCTTTCCCTGTATAAACTTATATTAACCATCACATCACATAAAAGAAAAATCACAGAATTGTCATGGATAAAATATATAATTATACATGGACTATAATAAAGAGTAGACTAAATCAATGAAAAAAAGGCCACCAAAACCTCAAATTGGTGAAAAACCTTAATTGGCTAAAAAAACCAAATTATTACAATCTAACTAACTATAATCCAAAATTATTACAGCCTAACTAATTATAATATTATATACTGAAATTAAAATTGTTAGTTTACAGTTTATAATTATTTTATTATATAAATAATAACAAATTCGAAATATTTTATAATATTATCTAATTTAAAATATATTATTGACAACTGTAAGAAAAATAATACATTACATGATTTATAATGTAAAAATTAATAAATAAAATAAAAAATTTGGTTGTCAATGTAGAAATTAATAAAATTCATACAGATTTTCGAAATAACACTTACATTTTTCAAAAATTTAATTTTTTAGGTTTTTAGAATAAATTTAGTGAAAGAGATTATTAGTAGAAAGAGAGAGATTTCAAACAGAATAAACTTTTTATTTTTCATTTTTTTATGCCATACAATAAAAACAATTATACAACAAAAATAATTTAACCGCTATATACAACAAAAATTAATATGTAATGCCCAAGGGGATTCGACCTTGGGACATCAAAGAAGAGAGCAGAGGTCACAACCATCACGCCTCCTCGCCACAGGTAATAATATGCTGCCTATTAATAGTATATATTTAAATTCCGTCTTTATTTAATGATGTTTCGAAAGTATCCCACATCGAAAGATGGGTATTCAACTTGCTATATAAATAATTACGTACTATAATGATATATGCGCACGTGGAACCGTTGAGGCAATCCAACGTGTGATACGTGTCACGTGTGATTTTGTCCCACGTGTACTCGTGATGTTGCGCATGTGAGGTGGTGTGATTTTGTCCCACGTGTACACGTGATGTTGCGCATGTGAGGTGGAGTGTGATGTCAGACCTGCCGGTTCTTGATGTTATAGGGCGGAACCACCCGATTCTCTCTATATACGAGCGGTTACTTATGTTTTGCTGGAAGGGTTTGGAGGGACTTATAGGAAATACGAGCGGTTACTTACGTTTTGCTGGAAGGGTTTGGAGGGACTTATAGGAATTCTTATGAGCCATATTATATAGCATATTAGGCATTTGATCAAACTATTTCATGAATCTCAACAAATTTGTAGTTTTATTTGATTTTGGTATATATGTGCGTATGTTTGTGGAGTCCATTCTAAGAATGTATATATATATGTGTATATGTGTGTGTATATATATGTGTGTATCAGTGTTCGTAAAACCGGCCAATTAGAACCGGAACCGGCCAGTTAGATCGCTACTGGTGGGGTGGCGATTCTGGTTAGGGCCGGTTTTAAGGTACACCAGGTAAGACGACACACTCTAAAAAATATCGAGACCAAAACCGGCAGGTTCAATGTCAAACAGGCGGTTTTTCTTCAAAACAGGCCGGTTTTCCTAACCGGTCCGATTTACCGTTGCTTTCGTATGTTACAACGCATCAAATAACGGTCGTCATTTAACACATGCTCGTTATTTTTCTTAGAACAGGTTTTTGCAGCTTTTTTTTTCTTCAATTTTGTAGTTTTTTTTGTTTTTTGGTCAAATATTGATGTTATACACCATAAAGTTTCTATAGATCATCTATTATTGAATCAAAAGTCGAAAAACAAAGAGTTATTGGCGGAT